TTTGTTTTATTATTAATCTTTTGTAGCACTGGAGCCGTCAATAACCATTAAACAAATGTACCCATTATTACTGACAGAAGAGAAAATGGCGTTAAACTATTGTATATTTGTTTATGTTGCGTTTTTTTATTGTTTAGACGGATGGACGAGCTCACAGCCCACCTGGTGTTAAGTGGTTACTGGAGCCCATAGACATCTAAAACGTAAATGCGTCACCCACCTTGACATATAAGTTCTAAGGTCTCAGTATAGTTACAACGGCTGCCCCACCTTTCAAACCGAAATGCATTACTGCTTCACGGCAGAAATAGGCAGGGTGGTCGTACCTACCCGTGAGGACTCACAAGAGGTCCTACCATCAGTAAAAATTAAGTTAACATTGTGATTTTTTTGTATAGTTGGGTGGACGAGCTCACAGCCCACCTGGTGTTAAATTGTTACCGGAGCCCAAAGACATACACATAGTTAATCCCGCTACCTACTTTGAGACACAAATCCCAACATTTCCCAGTACAACGGCTAGCCCTTCACGGCAGAAGTAGGCAGGATAGTGCTAGCTGCTGGCTCACATGACTACCAGTCAAACCCCTCTCTCCGATCTTAGTGTCATGGCGTTGTATGAGCTGTTCATCATCTCGCGTTTCGGTCTAAACAGTGCAAAGTTTTGGCTTGGAAGTTATCACAGAATTGTATTGACGGGAAACCGCGTGGCCTAGCTTCTTCTCTCTCCTCAATACTGAGGGTCGTGGCCAGGAAGTCGTCGTGGCCTAAAGGATAAGACGTCCGGTGCATTCGTGTCGAGCGATGCACCGGTGTTCGAATCCCGCAGGCGGGTACCAATTTTTCTAATGAAATACACGTACTTAACAAATGTTCACGATTGACTTCCACGGCGAAGGAATAGCATCGTGTAATAAAAAAATCAAACCCGCAAAATTATAATTAGCGTAATTACTGGTGTTAGGACCTCTTGTGAGTCCGCACGGGTAGGTACCACCGCCCTGCCTATTTCTGCCGTGAAGCAGTTATGCGGTTTGAAGGGTGGGGCAGAGTCTGTTCCGGATCATTCCACGCCATTTGCTCCTATCTGCGGCATAACTAGTATCATTGAAAATAATGTTGCGTTTATCTGCCGCACCGAAATACGCCCGTACCGATTCTAGGACTTACTTCTCAAATCGCGAGGAGATAACGAACTGTTATCAAAACTGGTCATCATCGATAGATCACGCAACGCATGTAACCGAGCGTGCAATTAATGTATGTATTAATAAATACATACCTAAACAATTAATTCTTATCTCAATTAAGGCGAACTCTTATGAGTCCGCACGGGTAGGTACCACCACCCCGCCTGTTTCTGCCGTGAAGCAGTAATGCGTTTCGGTTTGAAGGGTGGGGTAGCGTTGTAACTATACTGAGACCTTAGAACTTATATCTCAAGGTGGGTGGCGCATTTACATTGTAGATGTCTATGGGCTCCAGTAACCACTTAACACCAGGTGGGCTGTGAGCTCGTTCACCCATTTAAGCAATAAAAAAAAAAGGTGAAGTACGTTGACTTTAGAATCGTAACGATATTAATGTTTTGCTTCAAACTTTTAAATTAATTTAAATTAATTATGGTCGAATTTCGACTACTGGGTGACCATTAGTATTTATTAATCAACTAGCTGACCCGGCAGACTTCGTAGTGCCTCAATCGATAAGACCTAATAAACTTTTGTGTAAAATAAACTTAAAACAAACAAAAGGAATCCGTCCGACGGGGGACACGTCAAAGGAAAAACAAAATTGTTGTTTTTATTTAATTCCGACCATTTTCATATTTATCTATCCTTTTAAACCTTCTCTGGACTTCCACAAGTAATTCAAGACCAAAATTAGCTAAATCGGTCTAGCCGTTCTCGAGTTTTAGCGAGACTAACAAACAGCAATTCATTTTCTATACCTCTATACTAATATTATAAAGAGGAAAGATTTGTTTGTTTGTTTGTATTGAATAGGCTCCGAAACTACTGAACCGATTTGAAAAATTCTTTCACTGTTTGGAAGCTACACTATTCTCGGGTGACATAGGCTATAATCTTTTTTGAAAAAAATTACGGATCCTTACTAAAACTCCAATAATGTAACCCAAGGTATAAAAAAAATACCTAAAATATTCTTTATGTCGTGTGCCCTGCGAAAACGATTGATGATAGAATAAAATAATGTACTACGACTTTGTTTAACACATTATTATTTACGAAAAGCGTCGCGACAGCATATGTCTAACTATTATAGTTGTGCCGCAGTAAGTGTTATTTTATTTAAAAAAATAAAACAACGTCAAATATTCTTGAAATATTTGTTAAAGACCCCAGCAAAGCCGGAGCGGGCCGCTAGTTATAGATATAGACAATATAGAGGCACTAACATCGCTGTGCTATTGAAACTTGAAGTTCAAAAAGGACTGTCACGACAAAACAAGTTTCGCGGGGGTCGTTTCTCTGACGTCGACGACCAAAAAAAATCATATTCATACATAATTGTTATTTACTAGAGGTCCCGCAGTAGTCGAAACTCGACTATAATTAATTAGAATTGTAAGTTTGTGCACATACTATAATCACAAATTTCGCCGAGGCTACACTATCAAAAAATATTAATAAAGACAAACAATATTTAATCTATTCTCAATTTGACAACAGACGTCAAGAACAAAAGTTTGACAATGAATAGTATGCATGCGTGTGTGCGTCAAATACATGGTATGTAGTGTGTGTAACGTTTTCTTTATTGATTTAATGTATCTTTTATGCATTATTTAAAAAATATATATGCATTCTGCACTCATTCTCTATATTCTCTATAACTGTGGAAAATTTCATACTCCTCCGTCCGCGCAATTTTCCTTAAAAGGGATACAAAGTTTTTGCTTCACGTATTAATATATACTGATAATATAGAGGCACTAACATCGCTGTGCTATTGAAACTTGAAGTTCAAAAAGGACTGTCACGACGAAACAAGTTTCTCAGGGGTCATTTCTCTGACGTTGACGACAAAAAAATAATCATATTCTTACTTAATTTTACTATTTATATACGTATTTCCTCCATCGTATACTTAGATGCGTTACATAATGAATGCGAATGTCACTAATTAAGTCGAAGTTGATTTCCTGTTATGAATTTTTTTTTAGCCGTGGCCTTCATAATTGCGTGCGACATGCGATCACTCCGCTCGTGGCTAAGCACGTATTAGAACCATTCAGTTTCTTAACGTAAAGAAATTGACAACTTATATTTACTGTCCATTATCATTGTCTAGGCCTATATAGGTATTGCTGTATAGGTTTCAGTGAAAGACTGATTCTCGTAGGGTGGTTTAATGAGTAATTACGAGTATGGTTACAAACAATGTTAAAAAGGAGGAAAAAAGAATGAGAGCTTGTTCTTCTTTTTTTTCCTATCTATTCTAGTGACCTCGACAGGTTTTAAATTTACCTAACTAGTAGGTGAGCTCACGGGCTCAAACCTGACGAAGTTGCTAGCACTAGCCCTAGCAAGGGCAGTGCTTCGCAGAATCTCCCATCGGATCGGAAACGCGACCCACTGAGAAGATCCGGCGAGAAACTCAGTTGGCTGTGTCTGTGGGTTAATTTACTCGCCGAACACTTCGTCGCAAGCGACGGATTCGACGAGAATGATGACCGGTGCTTGAGGTACTTAAAAGCACTGTTAGTGGATCGGGAGAATCTGAAATGACGGGCTTAGGGCGACGTCGACTGTTTACCATTCGGTCCGCAGGATCGGGTATGTAGTTACCGGCGGCCACGATGACAGGGTTCTCGTGTCGTGCCGCTTTTTCGAAATGGTATTTTTTCTCGGCTGCGCAGGAGTCTTTTATAGAACAGCCGCGTGGTGCGGGCCGACAATCGTGACCATTGAACATGAGTGCTATCAGTGCTCAATATTAATCACAGGAAGAGCTGGGAGGAAACATAAAGCAAAGATTATCAATGTTGGCGAAATAGGTGCGGTATTTCCAGAGTGCACAGTTAGAGGTCCTTCCTCGTAAAGTCGTGTTCCTCATGTCTGACAATCGTGTCCAACTCCGTTCGCGACGTTCGTCTGTTGTGCCGTCTGTATCTTTGGCTACTTGAACAGTATTGTAAACGGTGGAAACAAGGCTAGTGCGGATCGGGCCAGACCAAACGTATTAGGCTTAATTTCTTACCACTTGGCCAGTAACCACCAGTTTTACAAGAATTTCTCCGTATTTTCTGGTGATGTGTCGGGAGTATTTTAAGATACGTTTGAATTAATTAATATTGGTTACATGATCTGTGAACATGATAACGTGTGAATGAATTGCATTATTATAGTAAAATATTGCTGCGAAAAGAGTGTCATGAATCAAGGTGCGGAGTGAGAGGTCCCTATATTGCTGTCTCTGTTCAACGCGATGACGATTAAAATATTCTAAAGGAGTTCGGTCGGATACAAACTATGAAGTGCCTTTAATGACAGTACCCTAAGTTTAAGCTTAACCAGAAAAATGTATCATACACATAGCGCCCTAGTTCCTAAGACTCTGCTCTTAAATTAGGCACCATTGGAAGGATCGTTCACCCAAATAGTACAAATATCCGTTTAAATCAATTATGATAGGATACATTTGCATTTTTTGGTCAGGATGAAATCGTTGACTGAGAGAGATAGACGCGATGTGCAGATTTGTACTGGTGGTAGGACCTCTTGTGAGTCCACGCGGGTAAGTAAGTACCACTATCCTGGCTATTTCTACCGGGAAGTAGTAATGCGTTTGGGATTGAAGGGTGGGGCAGCCGTTGTAACTATACTTGATACCTTAGAACTTATATTTCAAGGTGGGTGGCGCATTTACGTTGTAGATGTCTATGGGCTCCAGTAACTACTTAACACCAGATGGGCTGTCCTGTCCATATATCTAAGCAATAAATAAAAATAAAAATTAAACTTTATTTATTTCAGTTGTTCCAAACGTGCTTTCTGACTCTTTCGCTGATCTACGATGTACTGGAATGGCTGAATAAGGTGGACACAAATATTGCTACTAAAATCCAATACTACAGAGACGTGATTTTTTCCGGACTGGTCGTGCCCTTGACGTGTGTAAGTGAACTCTAAGATGTCTTATTATCTCATTAACTGCGTCGCGTTTTATTACGCGCAGACTTAAGTGGTAGATAGGAAATCATATTAAAACCTTTTGATCTAACTATAGGGCGTTCTAGAAATTTAATAACGCCATCTATATGGTGCTACTGTAAATACGCTTATAAAGCTTAATAGCCTTATTTTAAATATGTCGTAATTATTTTTAAAAAAAGCTTGTGATTTATCGTAATCTGTTTGAAAGCTTTTTACGCACAACGACAGATTTTCATCAAAATGTTATATATATATATACATATTTTTTTTATTGCCCGTGTAGCCAGACGCGTACGGTAGAGCCTACGACCCATTTGATGGTGAGTGGTTACCGTCGCCCATGGACTTCAGCAATGCCAGGGGCAGAGCCTCAAGCCTCTGCCTACCGTTTAGATACATTAAAAGTAAATAATTGTAGTAGGAAATTTGAAGAAGAGACACTATTGAAATTATCTTGTGATCTCAAATACTTGAAACCTCCCTTACTCCAAAAATTCACAAAATAAATAGTTACGTATTGAAAATCCTTTAAGCTGTAACTGGCTTACAAAGAAAAGGTGTTCCATCGCAGATGTAATTCAAGATGATAGGAGCCTCGCCTGGAGCTAAGTGTCCCGAAGTCCATAAACATTGCAAAGTAACCATCGTCCTTGAGACATGAGGCCGGACTCGCAATTGAACACAGCTGCCTTTCTTCATCCCTGAAATAAGCAAAATAGTATTCAGGCCGACCAATTCTGAATCCACGATCACCAGCAGAACCGAAGATTGTGGATCGCAATGCGCTGTTATTCAATGCTGTTGTCAACTTTACGTTTGTCTGATGTCCGTTTTTTTGGGAGGCTTACGAACAAAACTACCCTCAAATTTACTATTAATGTCTATTAATCTATCTATCAACCCAGAGATATCCCCTGCTGGACTTAGGCCTCCACCAAGCGTCGCCAAAAAGATCATAACGTAATTTTAGCTTTTTTTTTATTGCTTAGATGGGTGGACGAGCTCACAGCCCATCAGGTGTTAAGAGGTTACTGGAGCCCATAGACATCTACAACGTAAATGCGCCACCCACCTTGAGATATAAGTTCTAAGATCTCAGCATAGTTACAACGGCTGCCCTACCCTTCCAACCGAAGCGCATTACTGCTTCACGGCAGAAATGGGCAGGGCAGTGGTACTTAGACGCGCGGACTCACAAGAGGTCCTACCATCAGTAAAAAAAAAATCTTAACTGCGTAGATCTTAAGTCTTAACGTAATTTAAAGTAATTAATTGTACTTTTCAGTTCATATCGTCAATGTTTTGGATCGTGTTCTCGATAGACAGGGAGCTAGTGTTCCCCGAAGTCTACGACCAGATCGTGCCATGGTGGTTCAATCACTGCGTACACACTAACATCACCATAGTCGTCATAATTGAGACGTTGCTGCAAGCGAGACGCCACCCAAGAGACTTGAAGACAGAGGTCATCATGAACGGAACTGTAGGCGTCGCTTACGCCATTGTGTAAGTAATGGTTGGAATTAGCAGACCCTTCTAGGCCACTTGTTGTCAGCGTGCTTGTAAGACCGAGATTCCATTTATTTCTATATGGCAGTTGTACTAATGGAATTGACATCTTATCGCAGCGGGTTGCCACCGGTCATCGCTCTCGTCGAACCCGTCGCTTGCGACGAAGGGCTCGACGAGTAAATAAACCCATAGACACAGCCCACTGAGTTTCTCGCCGGATCTTCTCAGTGGCTCGCATTTCCGATCCGGTGGTAGATTCTGCGAAGCACGGCTCTTGCTAGGGTTCGTGTTAGCAGTGTCGTTAGGCTTGTGCCCCGTGAACTCATCTACTAGTTAAGGTTACGCTGAAATAGCCACTTAAGGCTATCAGCATAGGCAGGAATAAAAAAAAAAGCAGCGGTTCGCCGTACAAAAGCGTCTCTAGCCCATGCGATGCCCATCCGTCTGCAATCATTACGCTACCACCTTCTTACGCCCTTCAGTAAGCGCGCAGTCAAACTGGAACAGGTCCAAATGGAAGAGGTTCATTGAGTGCTGAAATTGGCACCCTCTGACACCACTGCGCCCCCACCCTGCACCACAGATAAAGTCGCCTCTGTCACCGCATATGTATACGCTGTGATATCTACGGAATTCAGTTACGGCTCAAGATCTGGGCTGTAAATTAGTCTGGCCATCTCCACAAAACAACTTTACACCAAATCAAATAGAATTGATTGCTATATCCGTGCGGATTCACAAGACGTCAAGAGTAGGACGTCTTGTGAGTCTGCACGGGTAGGTACCAAGGCCCTGCCTATTTCTGCCGTGAAGCAGTAATTCGTTTCGGTTTGAAGGGCGGGGCAGCCGTTGTAACTATACTGAGACCTTAGAACTTATATCTCAAGGTGGGTGGCGCATTTACGTTGTAGATGTCTATGGGTTCAGGTAACTACTAAACAACAGGTGGGCGTTGAGCTCGTCCACTCATCTAAGCAATAAAAGTAATCCTCATTTTTAGTTCATCCCCAATTCTTTGTGCAGGTACTACGCGATTTACTTCTTCGCGAAACGCTGGTTGTACGCCGTTTTCGGTATCATGACCTGGTGGCAGGTCTGTCTCTACCAGCTACTGATCTGGGGGTCGTGTTTCGCCTTCTACTTCCTTCAGTTCCCGGTCAACAGGCTCTTCCATCGGGAGGAGGTCCCGTCGCTCCGGGAGATCAATGAGGAGAAGACGGGTCCTCCAGCAGAAGAGGATATGGACATAGATATTTTGCATGATTCAAAACTATCGCCTTTAGTTGAAAAATCTTGGAGTCTCAAATACAGGTCTATGAGGGACCAAATGGAAAATTCTAGATTATAAAATGATTTTTATCTGTCTAAAGCTTTAGATCAATTTTTGTGTTAAGTCTTTTTAAATGTTTGAGATGCTTGTGGCAAGTGTCCACAGCAGATGCGGTGTGCCTTGTGCCATGGTACCAAATGTGTTAATTCTGTTGTCCCATGCCAAAGCGGATGGCAAAAGACATTAGAAATAAGGAAACTGTGTGTGTGTTTGTGTTTGTAAATATAGTCCGGTATGCTTAATACGAGTTTTTTAACGTTCTCGTTAGCGTAAAAGTTAACTCGATCTGTATGCAGTTGAAACAGCGCCCCTAGCGGCAAACACAGGCAAACGGCAACTCAATAACTGTCGGTACTTGAACGATTGTACCATGGTTCACTTGCGAACTAAATAATCATAGTAATGGTAGGTTCGAAGTAAGTATAAAAGCATAAAAGTATAAAGTAACCTAAGCAATAAAAAAATAAAAATGTATCAGTTGAATGGAATATTTGAAATATATTCAACTGAGAATTATTTTTAATAAATGTATCTTTTTTATTTGATTGGTTTTGTTAATTTTAAGTATGGTTCAATGATACTATGTACACATATGGACTTTATTTTTTATTTTTATTGCTTAGATGTGTGGACGAGCTCACAGCCCACCTGGTGTTAAGTGGTTACTGGAGCCCATAGACATCTACAGCGTAAATGCGCCACACACCTTGAGATATAAGTTCTAAGGTCTCGAGTATAGTTACAACGGCTGCCCCACCCTTCAAACCGAAACGCATTACTGCTTCACGGCAGAAATAGGCAGGGTGGTGGTACCTACCCGTGCAGACTCACAAGAGGTCCTACCACCAGTAATTACGCAAATTATAATTTTGCGGGTTTTGATTTTTATTACACGATTCACCGTGGAAGTCAATTGTGAACATTTTGTTAAGTACGTATTTCATTAGAAAAATTGGTACCCGCCTGCGGGATTCGAACACCGGTGCATCGCTACATACGAATGCACCGGACGTCTTATCCTTTAGGCCACGACGACGACGTTGTTGTCTGAAATAAAATAATTCATTCATTCATTCATTCATTCACTCACTCAATACAAATTTGAGATAACTTTTACGCTATCGAGAACGTTTAAAAACTCTCACTAAGCACACTGATGATGTCTACTTGCCGTTAATGCCTAAGAACTTGCAATACTGTGATAATTGGGAAACCAATTAAAACAATAACATTAATGTGATAATATTTATCAATAAATAAATGTGATCGAATTGTCTTTATTCTCGCTTTTTTTTCCTACCTATGCTGATAACCTTGAGAGGCTATTTCAGCTTCGCCCTAACGTTTGTAGGTGAGCTCACGGGGCTCAACCGGAGTGTTGCTAACACTGACCCTAGCAAGAGCCGTGCTTCGCAGAATCTACCACCGGATCGGAAACGCGACCCACTGAGAAGATCCGGCGAGAAACTCAGTGGGCTGTGTCTATGGATTAGTTCGCTCGTCGAGCCCTTCGTCGCAAGCGACGGGTTCGACGAGGACGGTGACAGGTATTCTCGCTAGCGTTATCAAAGCGTGTGAGGAATCTTATTATTATTAAATCAACGTCATTGGATGATTGTTGATACACAGCTAGACCTAGTGGAATTAATGGGGGACTATCTACCACATTAAAACAATTGGTTGAAGTTGCATTAGTTTTTATTTCTATTTGAGAGTTTACTGGTGGCCCGGAAGCCTTTCCGGTTTTATCAGTGCAGCTGGGCGAGCAAGGGCTCAGCCAGGAGGGGTAGGATTTGCTAACAGCTACCCGAGCGCCACCAAAGTCGATCTAACTACTCAAGAGTCGCTGCATTTGTATAACGGCTATGGCCATTGCTATTTAACGGGTCCTAATCCGGTCATCGTCCTCGTTGAACCCGTCGCTTGTGAGTTTCTCGCCGGATCTTCTCAGTGGGTCGCGTTTCCGATCCGGTGGTAGATTCTGCGAAGCACTGCTCTTGCTAGGATTCTCGTTAGCAACGTCATCAGGTTTGAGCCCCGCGAGCTCACCTACTAGTTAAGGCTACGCTGATATAGCCTCTCAAGGCTCTCAGCTTAGGTAGAAAAAAAAAGGGTCCTAATCACTATTTTCACATTCAGTGACTTTACGATATTTTAGCGTGTTGTAAGAGCCGTGTTTACGGGCAGAATGAAGACCGCGGGATTTTAGGAGTAGACCAATCTGTCAATCCATTCTCTAGTCCGTTTTAGTTAATACTGGAACTCGTTGACTTGCCCCGATACTAAACCTTATTAAGAATGTTAGTGAACAGGTACGCATTGAATCTTGGCTTGATATTGAATGGACAGCATTGTGTATAGATGAGTCGTCTATTATCAAAGGTGGAAATCTGTGCATTTGGACAAAAAAATGTTATTGATATGTCAAAACAGATTGATTTAAATATAATCGTCTCCTTCAAAGAATACGGTTCAAAACCTGCATTAAATAAAGGTTAATAGTTAACCTGTTATTTATCTAAGATGTCGTTCAGAGGAGTTTTGTGACTGCCAATGGAATACAAAGTCAATAATTCGTTTTTCTGATTTACCAATAAATGTCCAAAAGTGACATTGCCGGCTTTGATAATAGTCGACTCAGATGTAGCTATCTATGGTTCGTTCTTCTTTCTTCTTTCGAACGTTTGAACGGTGATGGTTGTGATGTGTATAAAGTTCGATGACCACTTAATACTTGTGAGCCATTTATCAGGGCAATAAAAACACCTTAAGCACTCTAGGCAGAGTTGAACAAAAATATGATTATTGAGATACTTACCAGCGAGTGGATTTAGCCGCTTGCTATTAAATATTTCTGTTAGATCTCACCACGCTGTTTTATTAAGTAATTTTAACTGTGCGAATAAAAATACTTTTGCGATTTATGAAATTTTATTTTCCATACAAATTCCGTCTTAGCGTTAATCGACACGTACAAAATTGTCATTATCGATATCATTAACATATTTATATACACACGCTGTATCACTCGATGGGCGAATACAACAAATGAAAATTTATATTTAGACTCTGGAACACGACATTTGACAGTTCGGAACTTTCAAACGTCAAATCTCAAAGTCACATTCGAGTTAAGGCCTTCTTGTATGAAAAAGAAAGGATTTTATCACATCTGCCCATTGATTGATACCGGAATACACCTTAGACATCGGAAGATACATTCTGGCAGCAAGGTTCGTGGTCAGACAAGAATATATTTTTTCTTTATTCCACGTCAATTTGGATTTCGAGTATCTGACAATATATTTCGTGTGAATTATCAAGATCGAAAAACAATTTTATTGCCATGGCTTTACTAGCTCATGGCTATGTCTTCGATCTATAGACTAACCAAATGCTGTAAGTTTTATTGCAAGAAGACGACCATGATTTATTGTATCATAAGGAAGAAAAACGGTTACGACCATTGTACTAGATTCTGTAAAGAGTGACATCACGCGCATCCGGCCTTTGCAAAATCACACCTCGAGAATTATTATTAAAATATTATAAACGAAGAGTAAAATGTACATTCATTAAACAAAATGTCATTACACAACGTACGCTAGACTATTTTTAAAAATAAATTGGCAGTGACAATGCTAGATGACAGAATGTTCTAGTTATTTTTAAATTAAAACACATTTTACGTCTAATCTTATTAATTAATTGAGTAGTATTTACGAAATCCTGTATGTTAATTGCGCGTTTTTTTTACAGTCGGCTTTATGTTTTCCTTGAAAATTTGGCAACAATAAATTTTACGCTATTATACGGTATGTTAGCACGAGCTTTTGTGTAGCTTTGTGATGTGATGAAACTATCGAGCTTATCTGTCGATGGACCTAGAAGCTATCAAAAGTTTTTGAAATTTTTTAGGGAGCCCAGAAAGTTGGACTGTCAAAAAATACAATCCACACAGCGTTTTTTTGCTTTTTCCAGACTACAATTTGAAGAAAGTCGACATTAATTAGCATACAGGTTTTCATAGACCCAGTTCTAAGTTCAATTAGAATAACTGGTCTAATTAGCATACAGGTTTTCTAATCATAGACTCAGTTCTGGGTTCAATTAGAATAGCTGGTCTAATATCCTGTAGAGTTGCCTGGGGTACCGGGTTCGGTCGTCATCTTGAAATCTCTGAGGCTGGATGTAATATGACGCCGGAGTTCTTATACTAACATGCGGTCTGCTCCTCAACTGATAGTTCTTCAGTTCTGATGCCGCAAACTGAGGCTCCTGGTAGTTTCTGAACCGGGAAAATGTGTAGTCTCTCTCCGGTGTCACGACAAAGCCACTCGGTATTCTGTTTAGAGGCAAAGCTGGGGAAAGGGCCTCATTATACCGAATGTCATAGTCGTTCTCCAAGGAGTCGGCCAGATTTTGTTTTATTGATATGTTTTCTGGGAGGAGCGGTGGTTTCCCTGTGGCCGTGTAAGGCTTCGATATTTCGGCCTTAATCTTCGGCTTGGGATCTTCGTAGGGCGCAGTGGTTGCTAAGTACGGTTTTATGTAATCCCCCGGTGCCAATGTCGACTCTAATTTGCCTCTAATGGCTTCGTAATTGTCGTTGTACACTCTCAGAACCTTTGTGGCTAGGTGTTTGGCTTTTTGATCTGGTGTCGTCGGTTCCGTTGTGGTTGTGGGCTTCGAAGTCCTCAGTCTGGTCACTTGGGTTGTGGTTTCTCTTTTCTTGTCGTATTCGACGTCCTCCTCGTCGTAATACTCGTATTCTTCTTCTGGAGCTTTTAATTCTTGAGGGAGTACTCTCCCCGTGGTCACGGAAGTTGTATATTTGGTTGTAGTGGTCGTGGGTTTGGCTGTGGTTGTTGTAGTTTTAAGCGTGGTAGTGGGTTCAGGAGTGGTCGTTCTAGAAGTTGTGGGGATAGGTGTGGAAGTAGTAGTCGTAGGTTTAGGGGTGGTGTTTAAAGGAGCTGTCAGATCCCTGCCGGCGACGGGCTGCAACCCTCGCGGCAGGTACGGACTACCACCCCTAGACGGTAAAAAAGGACGTTTGATAACTTTTACCGTAGGTCTAACTTCTTTGACTTTCGTCTCAGTCTCTTCTCTTTCGCGTCTGTTATTCTTACTCTTGTCATCGTAGTCATAATAATAGTCATCGGTGAGCTTAGACCTGGGTCTCTCTTTTTCTCTAGAATTGGATAGTCTCTGAGATTTCCCAGTAGGTTCGTAATAATAATCGTCATCATATTCTTCTGGTCTTTTCGTCTTTCTTGGCTTGTTTACAGTTTGAGGTCTGGTAGGTTTGAATTTCTCTCTTTCAACTGGTTCCGGTCTAGGACGTTGTACCGTACTGGTCTTTCCGGAAGAAGACGGTCTTCTCGGTTCTTCTTCTTCATAATCATAGTAATCATCGTCATCAGCCCTCGGAGGTACTTTCGTGGTTGTAACCGTCACATATTCGTATTTTCCTTTTTCACTTAAAGGGACTGGTCTTTTTATTTTGGGTGGGGCCCTCGGCTGGCTGAACAAACCGTGGCCATTGGGCTTAACTAGAGCTTGACCTTCTGGTGCTGTAGGTATTTCTCTTTTCTCTTCGTGAACTTTTTCGTCTTTGTAGGGGCGGTCATCTCTATTTCTGTATGGTCGTTCATCTCTATAGCGTCTGCCTTCGGATTGATATCTATCATCCCGAGTCCTCTCTCTATTTTTCTCTGGAGTTTCGTCTCTAAGTGGCCTAGGTCTGACCTGAGATCTGGGTTCATCTCTAGGTCGAATTTCATCTCTGGGTCTTGTCTCATCTCTTGGCCGAATTTCATCTCTGGGTTTTATCTCATCTCTTGGCCGAATTTCATCACGAGGTCTTGCCTCATCTCTTGGTCGAATTTCATCTCTGGGTCTTATCTCATCTCTTGACCGAATTTCATCTCTGGGTCTTATCTCATCTCTTGGGCGAATTTCGTCTCTTGGTCTTATTTCATCTCTTGGACTGGTTTCGTCTCTAGACTTGATTATTTCATCTCTTGAATTTCCCTCATATAGCACTTTGTCTTCAGTAGACCTCGTGTCTTCGTCTACTAAGTCTCTTGGCCTATATTCATCTCTGTTACGGTTTGGCCCATCCCTCTTAGCCCCACGTCTGTCATCTTCTAAGCTGTATCTATCATCGTCTCTTGGTCTATTCCGCCGACTCCCGCCTCGATATGCAGGTCTGCGATCGTCGTCATCATATGGCCTCCTCTTTCCTGGTCTCCTGTCGTAGGGTCTACGGTCTTCAAGGTCTTCCTCTATCGTTTCGTCGCGAGGGCGCGGGCGCCGGTCGTATCTGGAATAATTGTTTTTTTAATATCCTTAGCATACTTCGATCAGCACTTATTACAAAACAAACTCAATTCGTGTTGGTCATATGACTGCTTCGCATTAGTTTATAGGGTAGGACAATAATTTTTTTTGATTTCATGCACTTTTGGGCTTATCTCTTCGGATAACCACTTTATGCAAAAAAGAATGATTTTAAAAGTCACATATGGTGGGTGATCTGGTCTCAAATTTGATTTATCTGTACCAAGGAAACCCTGAGACTTGTATAAATACGAATAAATAGATAATAATATATACTAATAATGTATATATATAATAATACATAACAATATATAGATATCAAAAACTCAGATATAGAGCAAACAAATCTGTTCATGAGCTCACAGGTCTCAAACCGGGTGTTGCTAACACTAACCCTAGCAAGAGCAGTGCTTCGCAGAATCCACCACCGGATCGGAAACGCGACCCACTGAGAAGATCCGGCGAGAAACTCAGTGGGCTAAAATCGACGGAAAAAGCGACTAAATAAGCCCTTTAATTGTCATGTAGGTCACCGGTGCCCTACGTTGTGCACTGAAGTACTAATTATTCTTTTGTCGCTTATATGGGTGGATGAGCTCAGGTTAAGTGTTAAGTGGTTATGGAGCATCTATAACGTAAATACTGCCACCCACCTTGAGACAATATGAGTTCTAAGGTTTTAGTTTTAACAGTACAACGGTTGCTCTATCCTTCAAACCGAAACGCATTACTGCTTCACGGCAGAAATAGGTAGCTCGGTGGTACCTACCCGTGGGGGCTCACAAAACGTCCTACCACTAATAAGTAATGTTGTATGTTGTAGTAGTATGTTGATTTCTGTTATTAAGGCCCAGGAATATCTAGTAGATTCTGGTTGGGGAAGACGAATCCGATTGAAACATACATTAACAAACAAACAAAGGCAAAGTTAGGCAATCAAGGCGCTTCGGCGGAGCAATACGGCTTCAGAGAGGGCCGCTCGACTATCGACGCAATTCTGCGCGTGCGGGCCCTCTCCGACGAAGCCGTATCCCGGGGCGGGGTGGCGATGGCGTTATCCTTAGATGTAAGGAACGCCTTCAACACCCTGCCCTGGTCGGTGATCGTGGGGGCGCTGGAGTATCACGGCGTCCCCGCATACCTCCGCCGACTGATCGGCTCCTACCTCGAGGGCAGGTCGATCCAGTGCATCGGACACGGTGGGGCGATGTACCGCTTTCCGGTCGAGCGCGGTGTTCCGCAGGGGTCTGTCCTGGGCCCCCTGCTGTGGAACATCGGCTACGACTGGGTCCTGCGGGGCGTCATTCGGGCTCCCCTCCCCGGGCTGAGCGTAATATGTTACGCCGACGACACGTTGCTCGTGGCTCCGGGGAGGGACTACCGGGAGTCTGTCCGTCTGGCGTACGCAGGCGTGGCACACGTCGTCACAAGGATCCGACGGTTGGGACTCGAGGTGGCGCTCGACAAAACCCAGGCCCTGTTGTTTCACGGGCCGGGACGAGCGCCGCCTCTGGGTGCCCACCTCGTGATCGGAGGCGTCCGCGTCGGGGTCGGGGTGACCGGTTTTCGGTACCTCGGCCTCGAACTGGATAGTCGGTGGAACTTCCGCGCTCACTTTGAGAAGTTGGGCCCTCGACTGATGGCGACGGCCGGCTCTCTGAGCCGGCTGCTTCCAAACGTCGGGGGTCCCGATCAGGTGGCGCGCCGCCTCTACATGGGGGTGGTGCGGTCGATGGCACTATACGGTGCTCCCGTATGGTGCCACGCCCTGACCCGCAAGAACGTCGCGGCGCTGCGACGTCCGCAGCGCGCGATCGCGGTCAGGGCGATCCGAGGATACCGTACCGTCTCCTTCGAGGCGGCGTGCTTGCTCGCCGGGGCGCCACCCTGGGACCTGGAGGCGGAGGCGCTCGCTGCCGATTACAGGTGGCGTAGCGACCTCCGCTCTAGGGGGGAAGAGCGCCCCGGCGAAGGAGAAGTTCGAGCGCGGAGGCTCCACTCTCAGCGGTCCGTGCTGGAGGCGTGGTCTCGCCGCTTGGCGGACCCGTCGGCCGGCCTCCGTACCGTCGAGGCGGTCCGCCCGGTTCTCGCGGACTGGGTGGGCCGCGACCGCGGATGCCTCACCTTCCGGCTGACGCAAATGTTGACCGACCATGGTTGTTTCGGCCAGTACTTGCACAAGATAGCCGGAAGGGAACCGACGGCGCAGTGCCACCACTGCGCGGACCGCGACGAGGAAGACACAGCGGAACATACATTGGCGCGTTGCTCTGGATTCGACGAGCAACGCGCCGCCCTCGTCGCGGTCATAGGAGAGGACCTCTCGCTGCCGCGCGTCGTGGCTACGATGCTCGGCAGCGAGGCGTCCTGGAAGGCGATGCTCGACTTCTGCGAGTCCACCATCTCGCAGAAGGAGGCGGCGGAGCGAGAGAGGGAGAGCTCTTACCTTTCCGCACCGATCCGTCGCCATCGAGCCGGGGGCCGGAGGCGAGAATACGCCCGTACGTCCCGGCCCCTGTAGGTAGCGGCCTCCCCCCGGTGAAGGTCAAGGGGCGACCTGAGGGGGTGAGGCCGCGCGGCGCGCTACCAGCACTCTAGCGCGCTGCCGTGGATTGAATAGAGCGACCGGTCGACGGTGTATCGCGTCCCGACCCGGCAGGCTGGTTCTGGTCCAGCGGGGTATTCCGGGACACCAGCGGCACCGTCTGGGCGGCCTGACGGGCTGCCGTACCGAGACGGTCGACGTTTCAGAGCCTTCGATTCGCCTCGAAGGCTCCGTCGGCTGGGCGTCCTTGGGGTGAGCCGCGCCGTCTGGTTGTAGTGTTGACCGCGGTAGCCCCCCTACCTCATCCGGGTTCTGACCTCGGAGGGGATCGGACGTCGGGTGTAAGAGTGCAGGGGAGTCGTTTAGTGGGTGGGTCCTAAAATCCTTGGGCCCGCGNGTGTTGGTAACACTAACCCTAGCAAGAGCAGTGCTTCGCAGAATCCACCACCGGATCGGAAACGCGACCCACTGAGAAGATCCGGCGAGAAACTCAGTGGGCTAAAATCGACGGAAAAAGCGACTAAATTAGCCCTTTAATTGTCATGTAGGTCACCGGTGCCCTACGTTGTGCACTGAAGTACTAATTGTTCTTTTGTCGCTTATATGGGTGGATGAGCTCAGGTTAAGTGTTAAGTGGTTATGGAGCATCTATAACGTAAATACTGCCACCCACCTTGAGACATGAGTTCTAAGGTTTTAGTTTTAACAGTACAACGGTTGCTCTATACTTCAGACCGAAACGCGCTACTGCTTCATGGCAGAAATAGACAGGGCGGTAGTACCTACCCGTGCGGACTCACAAAACGTCCTACCACTAATAAGTAATTAAATAATAAATAAATAAATAAATATTTACTAACAATCACGTCACGTTAACTGGTCCCGTGCTAAGTTCGTAAAGAACTTGTGTTACAGGTACCAGATAACGGATATAAATGTAAGATTTTTATTATACACGTACATATATTTAATAATACATCATTAACCCTGGAAAAGACATTTATATTTATCATACAAATATCTTCCCTTGGCGGGATTCGAACCCGCGACCCCCTTGTGTAGTGACCATGTCACTTACCACTACACCAGGCGATCGTTAAAATGATGTTGATTTCTGTTATTAAGGCCCAGGAACATCTAGTAGATTCTGGTTGGGGAAGACGAATCCGATTGAAACATACATTAAACAAACAAACGACGGCAAAATTAGGCAATCCAGGCGCTTAATAACATAAATCGAAATAATTACTTCAGTGCGCCGCGTAGGACACTGGTGGTAGGACAGTGAAAGGGTTATATTCCTTGTTAAAAAAAAACACGTGTGGCACTTGGGGACTGCTGCGGTAAAGCTATTGCATAGCATTTTTTATGAACTTATGCAATTATAATTAGACAATAATAATTTAATATTAAAACAGTATTAAAATAAGACCACGCTATATTTATAAACATTAACTAAAGCAAAACATTAACTGTCTCCTTCACACGCATAAGCTAGACCGCGCGAGAGAGAGATGGGCAGACTTTTCATGATGCGCATGCAGTACGACGTCACGCCACGCGCAACGTGTGAATGTGTTGAACGTGAGCTACATGGTAGGCGGAGTGGGGAGTGTTAGGTTTTATTTTCGTTACAGAATTTCTTGATTCGCCGCGCTCAAAGTCCGCGATAAAAGCTATGCAATAGCTTAAAAAATGGCTGCAAGTTTCCACAGTGAAACTTACCTGTCATCATCGTAATCGTCAGCCGGTCTGTTCTTTTTGACGGGCCTGGCGCCGGGACGTGGTCTGGGTCTTCTTCTGAAAACACGACGAACAGAAGTTTATTTGGAGATGAAACTCGACTTAAAAACGAAGTCAGTGACGTCAGATATTTTATGACGTCCCTAATTAATTGGTACTAGCGGTCCCCTGGTAGTCGGAATTCGACTATAATTAATTGAATTAATTAAAAGTTTGTACACTATTATGATTCTATCGTCAAAGACTACTTCTATAATCATAGATTTAGCCAAGACTACACATTAGACATAATAATATATTAATAAAGACAAACAATATTTAATCTATTTTCCATTTGACCACAGACTATTAGCAATAAGAAAATCTTGACAATAAAAAAATAGTATGCATGCGTGTGTGTGTTAAATACATGGTAGTGTGTGTAATGTGTTTTTTTAGTGATTTAATGTCATTTTTTATGGATAAATTTATAAAGACTAGAGGTCCCGCAGTAGTCGAAATTCGAATATAATTAATTGGAATTGTAAGTTTGTACACTATTATGATTGTATTTTATATTTCTATAATCACAAATTTCGCCAAGACTACACTATAAAAAATATTAACAAAGACAAACAATATTTAATCTATTCTCAATTTGACAACAGACGTCAAGAACAAAAGTTTGACAATAAATAGAATGCATGCGTGTGTGCGTCAAATACATGGTATGTAGTGTGTGTAATGTTTTCTTTATTCATTTAATGTATCTTTTATGCGTTATTTAAAAAAAAATTTAGCATTGTGCACTTCTCTGTATTCTCTATAAGTGTGGAAAATTTCATATTCCTCCGTCCGCGCAATTTCCATAAAAAGGGGTACAAAGTTTTTGCTTCACGTATTAATATATAGATAACTGAAAATTACTACTCGTCTAACGCGGACTGTAGCTTGGATGGCTCTGATCTCAATTTAAATTAAGGAACGAAATCTAACCTACAGACACAGCCCACTGAGTTTCTCGCCCGATCTACTCAGTCTCGATTCCGATCCGGTGGTAGATCCTGCGAAGCACTGCTCTTGCTAGGGCTGGTTTTAGCAAATTCTTTCAGGCTGAGCACATTAGCTCACTTATCCATTCGGGCGTAGCTGAAAATGCCTCTTAGGCTACAAGCCAATAAGTAGAATAAAACACGAATAGAAAAACTAACCTGTCGTCATAATCATAGTCATCTCTGTAATAGTAGTCGTCATCATAATAATCGTATCTGTAGTGGGGGCGGCGGCGGGCGGGGCGAGGCGCGCGGGGCGGGGGCGCGGCCGTGGTCGTCGTGGTGGTTGTGGGCGGAGGAGGGGGCGGGGCTGACGTCGTAGCTTTATACAAAGCTTCGTTTCTGGAATAGAGGAACACGGACTTTTTTAATGCTTATTAGGGTGGACGATCTCACAGCCCACCGGGTGTTAAAAGGTTACTGGAGCCCATAGACATCTACAACGTAAATTCGCCACCAACCCTCGAGACATGAGTTCTTGGGTTTCAGTTTTTACAGTACAACGGCTGCCCCGCTCTTCAAACTGAAACGCATTACTGCTTCACGGCAGAAATAAGCAAGGTGGTACCTACCTATGAGGACTCAATCAACAGACACAGCCCACTGAGTTTCTCGCCCGATCTTCTCAGTCGCATTTCCGATCCGGTGGTAGATTCATTGAAACACGGCTCTTGCTAGTTGTCAAGTTTGAGCCCCGTGAGCTCACCTACTAATTCGGCTAATCTAGAATAACCCCTCGAGGTTATTAGAATAGGTAGGAAAAAAGTGAGGACTCACAAGAGGTCCTACCACCAGTAAACGCAAAATCATTATACATACTTTACAGTTTTGAGGGTAGGACAGGCGTTGTGATCACCGCGACCTTGAGCAGGTCGTCAGTCTACCTCGTGAGAGGTCTATCCACGCTGCGTTTTCCTATTTCACAATATCTTTTTGGCCCACAGTCATTACCTGTTAAAATAGTTTGGGGAGTTCTTGCAATCTACTTCGGAGACGAAGTGACAGATGAACGTCTTCTGATCGAAAGCTGTATAGTTCGCGCAGAGGAAGTCGTACCGGGTACCAAACAAACAGTGATGGTACACCTGAAAGCAAGATTCGAAAACAAACAGAAATATTATGTGCAGTAATACCTGAGATGCCTTGGTGATTTAATTATTAGGGACGCTGGATATTGGAGTCAGTTTGTTAAAGACATGTATAAGATGCTCGGTGACTTGGTCGCTTTACTGGTGGTAGGACTTCTTGTGAGTCCGCACGGGTAGGTTGTTTTTTTAAAATGCTTAGATGGGTGGACGAGCTCACAGCCCACCTAGTGTTAAGTGGTTACTGGAGCCGATAGACATCTACAACGTAAATGCGCCACCCACCTTGAGATATAAGTTCTAAGGTCTCAATTATAGTTACAACGGCTGCCCCACCCTTCAAACCGAAACGCATCACTGCTTCACGGCAGAAATAGGCAGAGCGGTGGTACCTACCCGCGCGGACTCACAAGAGATCGTACCACCAGTAGAATGTAGTAGACTCATTGAATACCTGGCATTTGTGTGGTACTGACGCGTAAAACCCGTCGTGCAGTCCGTCACACTTGAAGTCCATGGTCTCCGGAGGAGGCACGGCCTCGTAGAACGGATACTCCGAGAGGTTATAACCGTTCAATTCCCGGGGAAGGTTCGGGTCAAGTAAGTAGTCTATTTGTGGGATGCCCGACAGTTTCCTGGTCGAGTTCGTTGGTGCTTCGCCACCATCCGCCGTTGTTTCTGTCTGAAATTTGAAAGAAACTGGATTGAAAGAAACTGGAATTATTGCTATACTCGTATGGCAAGAGGAGATATGATTCCTAAGGTCTCGGTATAGTTACAACGGCTGCCTCGCCCTTCAAACCGCAAGTGCTTTATGGCAGAGATAGGCAGGGTGGTGGTGCCTACCCGTGCAGACCCACAAGAGGTCCTACCACCAGTAATTATACAACGTACAGTATAACATACAAATGTCTTCTTATTTGTCTCCATCTTAACCCACTAGGTGGGCACAGCAAATTTTTCTCTTCCATTCTTTTTTATCAGTTTTCATCTCAAAACTCACTCCTCTCTCTCTCTCTCTGATATCATCATTCACACACTCCATCCATGTCTTCTTCGGTCGACCTCTTCCCCGTTTACCTTGCACTACCATTTCCATACACTAGAGTTACTAGAATAGGTAGTATAAAAAAGCAGGACAGAGTCTGCGGCGCTCTCGAGTTGAACATTACCTCTGCTCCATCTTCAGGTCCTGATGGCTCTTCCTCGGGTGCTGCGGTTGTCGTGCTGGTCTTTGAGAAGATCAGGGATGTGGCCTTCAATGCTGCAGTATTTGGTAGCTCCGACGCTAAGATAGCTAGGAGACAAACTGAAACAAAACAAATGTTCAAATGGTAAATTAGGCATTGTACGGTTCACAACACATTGCTGGTGTTTTTTGGAACAAAGTTCCTTATGGGACGATACGGAGGGGTACCCTAACCGGGAAAAAACGTCCGTAACGTAAGATTTTTATTATTTATGTACAGTCTTAGTATGATGGCTATACAGTGTCTAATGTATAGTCTACGTGATGACGGTTATTATTATTTCTACAGATAGAACATCCTATCAGCCCATGCACGCCCATGGACGACGTTGTGATAAGAAGATTTTACGTAGCTTTCCGAACGCTGCCCATCCGAGCTGGATTCGACGGTTGACCTCTTTTTCGAAGTTTTTTTTTTTTTATTGCTTAGATGGGTGGACGAGCTCACAGCCCACCTGGTGTTAAGTGGTTACTGGAGTCCATGGACATCTACAACGTAAATGCGCCACCCACCTTGAGATATAAGTTCTAAGATCTCAGTATAGTTACAACGGCTGCCCCACCCTTCAAACCGAAACGCATTACTGCTTCACGGCAGAAATAGGCAGGGCGGTGGTACCTACCCGCGTGGACTCACAAGAGGTCCTACCACCAGTAATTACGCAAATTATAATTTTGCGGGTTTCATTTTTATTACACGATGTTATTCCTTCACCGTGGAAGTCAATAGTGAACATTTCTTAAGTACATATTTCATTAGAAAAATTGGTACCCGCCTGCGGGATTCGAACACCGGTGCATTACTAGGTACGAATGCACCGGACGTCTTATCCCTTAGGCCACGATGACTTCTGAAGTTGGACTTACCTAGATATATAGAACATAATTAGGCTTAATTATTATTATTATATATTTTTATAAATCATTGTGAATAAAATAAAGTTAATAACTTTGTAAAGTAGCCTTTTTTTATCAATAAAAAAATCATAATAAAAAATGTATACCCGAATAATTCTTTTCTTTATACCTCGAATAGAACAAAGTTAATATTTTTATAATAAGGAACTTCGTTCCTATCCGGTGTCCCACGACACCACACATCTTTTTTTGCCTTTTCTATGCAGACGAGCATACGGCCTATCTTAAGGTAGGTGGTTACCGTAGCTCGTGGACAATATCAATGCCAAGGGCAGAGCCAAGCCGCTGCCCACCATTGAGTACTCTCCGCAAGCATCGTCTGAAGAAGGACATGTCACAGCGCTCAGGAAACACCGTGAAAGGGAGACCATTCCAAAGCCAAAGGTGTGTCGCAGAAAAGATATTTGGAACGCAGTGCTAAGCAGTAAAAGTCACAAGTGGACATCACAACCGCAATGCCGTGCCAATAGGCAAACTTTTCCCTAACATGCAGGTGTTTTGTTATTGGATGCTGCCTACTTCTGCCGCGACTGCGTCAATGTTCTGATTTGAATTCTGATTCTGGTAATTAGGCTAATTAAATTTATTTTGTTTTTAATTTTGTTATTATTGTTGTTTGTGAAACATGTACTAAGAAAGTATTTCATTAGAATTGCTGATTGCGTGATTCGAACCCCATTTGGCAGGAGTACCCCGGCCTTGTCTTTTAGCCCCGTATAACTTCAAAATGAAGTCGTCGTGGCCTAAAGGATAAGACGTCCGGTGCATTCATATGTAGCGATGCACCGGTGTTCAAATCCCACAGGCGGGTACCAATTTTTCTAATGAAATACGTACTCAGCAAAGGTTCACGATTGACTTCCACGGTGAAGGAATAATATTGTGTAATAAAAACCAAACCGGCAAAATTATAATTTGCTTAATCACTGGTGGTAGGACCTCTTGGGAGTCCGCACGGGTAGGTACCACCACCCCGCCTATTTCCGCCGTGAAGCAGTAATGCGTTTCGGTTCAAAGGGTAGGGTAGCCGTTGTAACTATACTGAGACCTTAGAACTTATATCTCGAGGTGGGTGACGCATTTACGTTGTAGATGTCTATGGGCTCCAGTAACCACTTAACACCAGGTGGGCTGTGAGCTCGTCTATCCGTCTAAGCAATAAATAAAAATGTATATTCACAGATTGGATGATAGACAAAGCGGTGTAAAATTCATCAATGATATGTTTTCAAACCAATGATAGGTTCTCAATAGCCTACGCGATAATAATTAAAAACCTCCTTCTTGCGTCGTATTCCTCAATGCTGAAGGTCATGACCACTACTGTAGCACTCGCACGATCTTTCTCCATCCGTTTCTGTCTCTGGCGATGTGGAGGGCGTTGTGAACTGTGGAATGGTGCGAATCTGGTCGAATGTATCGGGTCGCGACCCTGAGGCCTTTTCCAAACCACTCCACCGATCGCGATGAGCTTGTCGTATTAGGACCAATGAATTGGGTTGGCCTTTTCCCAACCACCCCACCGGTCGCGATGAGCCTGTCGTATTTGGACCAATCAATTGGGTTGGCCTTTTCCCAAACACTCCACCGGTCGCGATGGGCTTGTCATATCTGGATCAATGAATTGGGTTGGCCTTTTCACAAGCACACCTCCGGTCGCGATGAGCCTGTCGTACTTGGACCAATCAATTGGGTTGGCCTTTTCCTAAACACTCCACCGGTCGCGATGAGCCTGTCGTATCTGGACCAAGGAATTGGGTTGGCCTTTTCCCAAGCACTCCACCGATCGCGATGAGTTTCTCGAGGTTAAAAACCTCCGTTCTTGTTCAAATTTGCTCCGTTCGTATGTTATTGCGGTGAGGCAATACAAACACAAACCGTTTAGGATAAAGCCATTGGCTTGAAGATGTTGCAACCGATAATTTTATTGATTTTCCTCTTAACACTAACGTGTTGTAATACCCAAGGAGGCCTTCTTCGAAATATTTACGCAAAGCTCGTTCAGAGGCGCTTTTTACATGAGTCGTCATTTATACATTTAAAGGCCTCTAAACTCGAAAAATATGATGCGAAAGGTAATGTTCGAAATCAATCTGCGGGTTTTTTTTATTGCTAAAAGGGTGGACGCTTTAGGACGAGGATGGATAAGGAAATATAGTGATAATGGAAGACCGTAGCAAACCGTCATACATGTAGGTACCGTTCCGGTCGAGAAGCAAGAAGAAGTGACAGATGTCAAGTCGCAAAGGCACCGTCAAATCGCGACCAGTGTTGGCGTGGTAAAAACACAAAAACCCTGGTGGTAGGACCTCTTGTGAGTCAGCACGGGTAGGTACCACCACCACCCTGCCTATTTCTGCCGTGAAGCAGTAATGCGTTTCGGTTTGAAGGGCGGAGCAGCCATTGTAACTATACTGAGACCTTACAACTGATATCTCAAGGTGGGTGGCGCATTTACGTTGTAGATGTCTATGGGCTCCAGTAACCACTTAACACCAGGTGGGCTGTGAGCTCGTCCACCCATCTAAGTAATAAAAAAATAAAAAAAGCAGCTGCAACAGATAGGCAGCGGGTCGATGACATGTCCTTCTTCAACCGAGGCTTGTGGAGAGTATTAAGCGGTAGGCAGCGGCTTGGCTCTGCCCCTGACATTGCTGAAGTCCATGGGCGACGGTAACCACTTACCATTAGATGGCAATAAAAAAGGACTGCAATAAAACAACTGCAAACTTACATTGAACTTAAAATTTACGTTCACTTGTGGTTATGTTAAATAAAGCCGTTTGAGACCGCAAAATAATGTGAAGGCGTCTTCTTAAAATAGACCAACTCGTGAAAAGTCAAGGACGCGATCAAAATTCATTATTTCGCTTCCATTATCCAACAAAATAAGTTCATATATTATGTTGAATGTGAAAATATCGAGTTGTTTAACTTGTCCTTTGAGAAATGCCAGTACGGGTTATTATTTTAATTGCTTAGATGGGTGTACGAGCCCACGGTCCATCGGGTGTTAAGTGATTACTGGAGCCCATAGACATCTGCAACGTAAATGCTGCCACCCACCTTGAGATATAAGTTCTAAGGTCTCAGTATAGTTACAACGGCTGCCCCGCCCGTCAAAACGAAACGCAGGCTTCACGGCAGAAATAGGCAAGATGGTGGTACCCAACTGCGCGGACTCACATGAGATCCACTAGTAATTACGCATCATATATTTCGAGTTTAGAGGCCTTTGAGACATGAGTTGTAAGGTCTCACTTTTAACAGTACAACGACTGCCCCATCCTTCAAACCGAAACGCATTACTGCTTCACGGCAGAGATAGGCAGGGTGGTGGTACCTACCCGCGCGGATTCACAAGAGGTCCTACCACCTGCCCTGGTAAAACTACAAAGGCCTCCGGGGCACCAGTAAACTCTCAAACATCAGCGCTGTTAACTTGTATCTACTTTGAACAGCATTAGCTGAGCCACCTCCTTTGGCCTTTCTTGATACGCTTTTATTAGCTTCAGACGTATGTTTGTAACGGAATCTTTAACATGATTTTGACCCCCTTCAAAACGTTGGATTAACTCGAAATTTGGTATACTTATTAAGGACCGATGACAAATTAATATTAAAATAAAATAATTAAAAAAATTGAAATTCAACTAAAAAAATTAAAATAAATTTGAATTAAAAATAGTGTAAGGAAAAATGATTTTATTGTAAAAAAAGCGTAGGGTGCATGGTATCAGTAGTTATAAATGTTTTATGAACAGATAATAATATGAGTAGAAGGGTTATTTTGATAATATCCTGCCACCTCCTTTTGCCTTTTTCTTTTCTCTTATTTGTCTAAATGTATTTATCTGGATCTGTGTGAAAGGCAAGGTTTTCCGTAGGCAGCGGCTTGGCTCTGCCTCTGGCATTGCTGATGTCCATGGGCGACGGTAACCACTCACCATCAGGTGGGCCGTATGCTCGTCTGCCCACAAGGGCAAAAAAAAAAAGGCAATAAATGATTTTATATTTATTATTGATTATTATTAAAGATGATAAAAATGAATTGCTGGTCGTTAGTCTCGCTAAAACTCGAGAACGGCTCGACCTATTTGGCTAATTTTGGTCTTTAATTATTTGTGGAAGTCCAGAGAAGGTTTAAAAGGCAAAATAGTAAAAAATAACAATTTTGTTTTTTATTTTGATGTGTCACCCGTCGGACGGATTCCTTTTGTTTGTTTTAAGTTTATTTTTTACAACAGTTAGGTCTTTTATTTATCGATTGAGGCACTACGAAGTCTGCCGGGTCAGCTAGTTAAAGGTAAAAAGGGAAACCCTGAGTATACCATCTCCGTTGTTCTTTTGCTAACCTTGAGCCTTCCGTCTAAAAATACACCAAATTTTACCGTTTGATGGAAATATTAAGCTATGACGTAAGATGTGAAAGATCTACTGTCACGGGTGACGTAATCGAAGTAATTCCAAGTGTCTTTTGCATTACATTACATGCGTGATGAGTTCACGGTCCATAACGCTGTCTTGAGACGTGAAGGCATTCACGCTATGATGTCTGTGGGATTAGGTAACCACTAGTCATCAGATAGTAACCTCGTGTCGTCGTGGCCTAAAGGATAAGACGTCCGGTGCATTCGTGTTGAGCGATGCACCGGTGTTCGAATCCCGCAGGCGGGTACCAATTTTTCTAATGGAATACGTACTCAACAAATGTTCACGATTGACTTCCACGGTGAAGGAATAACATCGCGTTATAAAAATCAAACCCGCAAAATTATAAATTGCGTAATTACTGGTGTAAAGCCTCTTTTGAGTCCGCGCGGGTAGGTACCACCGCCCTGCCTATTTCTGCCGTAAAGCAATAATACGTTTCGGTTTGAAGGGTGGGGCAGCCGTTGTAACTATACTTGAGACCTTAGAACTTATATCTCAAGGTGGGTGGCGCATTTAGATGTCTTGTAGATGTTTATGGGCTCTGTAGATGTCTATGGGTTCCAGTAACCACTTAACAGCAGGTGGGTTGTGAGCTCGTCCACCCATCTAAGCAATAACAAATAATACAATGATTACATTTAAGGTAATTGTTAGAAATAATGATTAATGACAGAAACTGCTAAATAAAATCTGATAATCGTAACATTTTTCGTTTCCAAATGATTCTTTTTCACCTGATGGTTGTCTGGAAGAGATCGCTCTTAGCGATAAGACCGCAAATTGTACTTTTTTTTGTATTTAATGTTTTGCCTTGTTTTTTTTTTGGTGTACAATAAAGAATACTCTCTCTCTCTCTCTCTCCCTCTCTCCCCCTCTATCTCTCTCATTCTTGATGTCGATCTAAACGTCACAGCGCGTGACGTCATATGTGTTTAGTCTTTGAACATTACTGCACGATCTGTGGTTGGCTCGTCCAAACAAAACTTGTTTGATTCCCTACATACGTTAATTATATATTTAATTAAATATGTCCGAGACTAAACAACTTTTAAATTTATTCAAAATGACATGACAAAGTTCTCGAAACTCAACCTTGGCATTATGATGTAATATTGAAATTAAATAAGGTTTTATTTAATTTTAATGGAATAATAAATTGCAAAAATTTGAAGGTGAAACATTTAACTATTATTTACACTCACACGGTTCGTATTTTTCTAGAATTTAGAACATAGAACACACGTAAGGCTTGTTGTAAGTAAGTATTGTTGTATACATGAGCCCACCGTTGTAGACCAAGGGCAACTCCGATGAAATCCACGGGACTCCTCGTCGCTACAGTCCCCCAGCATTTAATGATGCATCTTCGATCAATCCAAGACGATGGTGCGCGCGACAGAAGTGAAACTTCTTAATTAAAATTTCTCTTGTAATTTGGAATGTTTGGTATTACGACCTAACTCACTTAGTCCTTTCCCTCTCTCCACGGTTGAGTGGCTCGCGAGATGCTCTATTTTCTCACTCTTCACACTCATAAATCATGGATTGAATTTCAATGAGTTCTGCCATGTTGTATGTTTGTTATGTATTATTGAAGAATAATAAGGAATCTCGGTGGAACCTCCATTTATTACTTGATAATCCTGTTGTCAACTTACGAAACTCAGCCTCCTGTTCTTCGACACCAAAGCTCTTGTTTCGTTATAGTTCTCACACCACCCACACACGTTCACAACCTCATTCGACAGAAACACTTTTTCAAGGAATTCACCAACGCGCAAGGCTCTCTCGAAGGACCAAAATGTAGGGTGCGGTGTGAGTTTGTTATTTAAAGATTATGTTGCTTAAAACTGTTTATTGTTAAAATATTAAGTAAATCGAAGAAATGTTAATGTTATGAATGCACCCGGGTAATATTTTTTTTTTGTTTTTTTTTTTATTGCCCTTGTAGGCAGACGAGCATACGGCCCACCTGATGGTGTGTGGTTACCGTCGCCCATGGACTTCAGCAATGCCAGGGGCAGAGCCAAGCCGCTGCCTACTGCACTTAATTGATCGTGCACTAACGATTTGTGGAAATAAAGTTAATGCGTCACGCAAATTATGCTGACAAAGGTCTTCGGTAATATATCACCGAACACACTCTCCTAAATTGTATCTTTTCTCTCTAGCCGTAACGAATCTGTTAGGAGTTCAATTTTACTCACAACGCGCATAAAGAAGTTTCACTTCTTAAATGCTACCAACTTCGTTCCGTTATTTTTTTTACTTTATTGCCTTTGCTGATATACCGGTATAGTATCCACCCGGTTGTGAATGGTTGTCCATGAACCCCAGCAAGGCGCACAGCCAAGTCGATGCTTTTCAACTAACCTACTAGTATTCAGGGTTATTATAAGTGACTTACCGAAGATGGTGAATCCCAGCCATCTGTGCCGAGACCTCTTCATGGTTCCAGCTTATCCTGGAGACAACAGAAATTCGATTAAAGATTATGTTACTAATACAAGTCGGATTTGGTGTCAGTTCAGTGAGAAAGCCAATATTATCCTAATACATATATTATAATGACACAAACAAAACCCTAGCCAGGGGTAGAATCTATGAAAACTGTGACCAGTGATTGGAATGCCTAAAATCACTGATAGCGGATCGGGAGGATCCGAATTGAATTGTTTAGAGCGACGGTGACTGTTTACCGTATGTTCCTCTGGATCGGGTACGTACTTGCAAGAAACTTTTACTGGTGGTAGGACCTCTTGTGAGTTCGCGCGGGTAAGTACCAACACCGTGCCTATTTCTGCCGTGAAGTAGTATGTTTTTCGGTTTGAAAGGTGGGACAGCCATTCTAATTATACTTGAGACCTTAGGACTTGTATCTTTTTTTTTTTTTATTGCCCTTGTAGGCAGACGTGCATACGGCCCACCTGATGGTGAGTGGTTACCGTTGCCCATGGACTTCAGCAATGCCAGGGGCAGAGCCAAGCCGCTGCCTACCGCTTAATACTCTCCACAAGCCTCGTTTGAAGAAGGACATGTCATAGCGCAAATAGTATCTCAGGGTAAGTGGCGCATTTACGTTGTAAATGTCTATGGGCTCCAGTAACAACTCAACACTGTGTGTGTGAGTGAGCTCGTCCACCCATCTAAGCAATAAAAAAATGGAAAACTTTTTGAAGTGAAACTTCTAATGCGACTTCCAACAAGGTGGCGTTAAAGTTTAACGCTACCATGGAATAGAAAGAGAGAGGGCGAGAGTGAATGCGCGGCACTCGAACGCACGCGCGCAGTATACCTGTTACAGGCCAGCGCGAGCGTTAGCAACGAGTAGCGTCCAATATTTTAATGAAGTACATACTTAAAAAGTATATACATATTTATTTTTCTATCTATAATTTAAAATATAAGTAGAATAGGGATCGCAGCGCATAAAATAAAACTTCCACTGTTCTAAAATCTTTTGTTATAATAATAATTAATAATTAACACTATTATTACGTCTTGCTCATTTTTCAACCGTCTTCGCCATTTTCCTTTTCTCTGTCATTCTCTTCTCCCTTTCTTTCCGTTCTCTCTCACTCACATCTTAACGCTCCGTTCTTACCAATCCTAAATATATATAATATAAATGTTGAAGATGTCGCATCTCTTATACACAGCATTCCCTGTTACAAGAGCAATCTGATTTAAGGATGAAGAAAACCACACATCAACTATACATCGAAAAAGAAGTTTCACTTCATTCACGTGCAGCAAGTTGCACACACACCGTTTTTTAAAACTCTATCTATTATCTTGTTACTGTATCTTTTATTGAAATTTTAACCAGCTCCAATACAACCGCTGATCTTGAAATATTACGCACGTATCAACGATCGATGACCAGGATCGAGATGTCATTCTAACTTTTGGTTTGACATAAAAATCTATGCTTCGTAACTTTTGTAATCCTTCAGCTCTAACATTAGGAGTAGGCTTAGGGACCCCAGTAACCTTACTCGTCGAACTCGACAAAGAGGTCGACGTGCAACCTAACCTAAACATCAGCCCGCTGAGTTTCTTGTCGGATCTTCTCAGCGGGTCGCGATTCCGTTCCGGTAGTAGATTCATTCGCGAAGCAGCTGCTCTTGAGTTGTTAGATTTCCTTTGGAGACAAATGTTCACGATTGACTTCCACGGTGAAGGAATTACATCGTGTAATAAAAAAACCAAACCCGCAAAAATTCTAATTTGCGTAATCACTGGTGGTAGGACCTCTTGGGAGTGTCCGCACGGGTAGGTACCACCACTCCGCCTATTTGCGCCGTGAAGCAGTAATGCGTTTCGGTTCGAAGGGTGGGGTAGCCGTTGTAACTATACTGAGACCTTAGAACTTGTATCTCGAGGTGGGTGGCGCATTTACGTTGTAGATGTCTATGGGCTCCAGTAACCACTTAACACCAGGTGGGCTGTGAGCTCGTCCATCCATCTAAGCAATAAAAAAAAAACGCTCAAGTAGCCATTAGCAAATCCTACCCCTCCTGACTGAGCCTATGCTCGATTACCTGTTCTGGTGAAACTGGAAAGGCCTCCGGGCCACGAGTAATCATTCATTTAAAAAAAAAGAAACTTTTATATTGACTCTTCAAGCGACTCACAAAGTTCATGTATTATATGTCGGTATGATTGAATGCAAATATTCTAATTTGAAGAAGCCATTCACTCGCACTCGTGTCCTTGCGACGACTGTGATTGTGATGTTTGTAAATAGATGGCGCTGGTATTTCGGATACAACCACGAAATATCAGAAGACTCATATATGAAGCGGTTCTTTATTTATTTTTTATTGCTTAGATGTGTGGACGAGCTCACAGCCCACCTGGTGTTAAGTGGCTACTGGAGCCCGTAGACATCTACAACGTAAATGCGCCACCCACCTTGAGATATAAGTTCTAAGGTCTCAGTATAGTTACAACGGCTGCCCCGCCCTTCAAACCGAAACGCATATGTTGAGTACGTATTTCATTAGAAAAATTGGTACCCGCCTGCGGGATTCGAACACCGGTGCAACGCTAGATACGAATACATCGGACGTCTTATACTTTAGGCCACGACGACTACTATGGAGGACTGGAGGAATGCATGAATCTTTATTCTTACGGGCTGGAGTTACCTAGCTGTAGGTGCATGAACATTAGCAATACCAAAGGAGCCAATCAGTCAAGGTACCTTTTTTTTATCCTACCTAAGCTGATAGCCTTGAGAGGCTACTTCAGCGTAAATTTAACTAGTAGGTGAGCTCACGGGGCTCAAACCTGATGAAAGGTAATACGTGACAATAGTCACTCGTATATAAAGGAGAAACATGACGGTAGCTTAGTCATAAATTCTCTGGAATATCATCTTAAACAATTGTTTACACGCCTTGGAGACTTATTATAGTTAGCCAACAATATCAACATTAAGGGAACAGCTAACTTTAACTAAGCTTAGATAGCTAAATAGCAAGGTTGCGCCGATATATACTTAGTCCAGGCATAAGCTCTGTTACAAATGAAATTTTAATGAAGTAATGTAATATTATGTTGCTAACACGAACCCTAGCAAGAGCCGTGCTCCGCAGAATCTACCACCGGATGATCAAGGTACCAAAGGAGCCAATCATTAAGGACTTATCCGAACTTAGTTCTTAGAATGACTTTTGTATTGACTTTCAGAATATACTTGAGGTCAGCGTACTACGACTTCAGTCCACGCTTCTATTTGACATTCGTCTATTAAATAGCGCGTTTTAATATGAACAAAAAACTATATTGTATTTAGAACTACATACTCTGAATATTAACATTAATATTTCAACAGAATCCCCTAGTCGACGTTTATTGGTGGTAGGACCTCTTGTGAGTCCGCGCGGGTAGGTACCATCGCCCCGTCTATTTCTGCCGTGAAGCAGTAATGCGGTTTGCAGGGTGAGGCAGTCGTTGTAACTATACTGAGACCTTAGAACTTATATCTCAAGATGGGTGGTGCATTTACGTTGTAGATGTCTATGGGCTCCGGTAACCACTTAACACTAGGTTGTAAGCTCTTCTATCTATCTAGGCAATAAATTAAAAAAAAAAAACGTGTTTATGTCGCCTTCATTAATTCACTGAGTTTAATTTTTCACCGGATCTTCTCAGTGAGTCGCGAATCCGACCCAGTGGTACACTCAACAAAGCACTGCTCTTGCTTGGGCTAGTGTTAGCAAACCCTTTCAAGCTGAACCCCGTGAGCTCGGCACCAATCACAGTGAACATAAAAAAGCCTTAAACAAGTAAGGTGAGGCTTTCAAGTCGCGTAAAAGGCGAGAAAGCTCCACCAAATTAAGCATAATTTGAAAAGTCTAAATCTATTAAGGCATGCAGACTCAGTGTTTTTGTTTTTTTCTTTCGATCGCCACAAAGCCTGTTTCGCCAAAAAACACTTATATTTATAGACACATTTTGCATAATATATTTCTGCGCATTTGTAGACATTCACTGCCCACGTTGTGAGTACGTAAGAGATAAAAATATTACCCGTTATATATTAGCTAAATTAAAATAAGTGACGAACTATAAATATAATCTATAAATTAGAGCGATTTTTACTTTTATTTTTACTGATAACATTAATTTAAAATAAAATATTAACATTTAAACGTAACAGCAGAATAAATTAGAAAAATTTTAGTTCCGCGCACCGGAGTTATTATGCTTTTTTTTTTTTTTTTTCCACACGAGAAAATCGCCAGATCCCCACCCGCACAGCAGGTGGGGTATGTGGGGGTCGAACCTCACCAAAAACTCCTACCGCTCACAGCCGGCGCCCTACCCCGGACCGGGCGGGAACCCAGTCGGAGCTATTGAGACGGCGGGACAAGGTTTACGCAGAGCATATTACATCCATCCCGCCGTCCCCCAGACGCCGGACCGGCGGCCGCCAGCGACACGACCGTCGGTTCCCTCGGTCGACGGGCCAAGAGCCCGCACTAATGGCGCCGCGCTACACCTTCCCCCGGAGCGGTCGGGGGAACGCGGCCTACCACGCCGCCCCACGCCTAAGCTCCTCTCCGTACAAAGCGGTGGAGCCCGAAGCTCTTAGGGGGCCGGGTTACGGACGGGACCCCGATCCCGACCCCCTGCTCGGCGGCGGCAGTTATTATGCGTTAGGAGTGTTTCATGATTTTTGCGTCGGTAAATGGCTGCTGTATGCTCATAACAGCTTATTATGGCTCATCAACTTATCTCTAGACTAAAATCAATCATGGATGAGGTTATTTGAGAGAGGTAGTCCAGAGAGAAGTGGTCCATGCCGCAGAGGATAGATCAACATGGCGTGATACAGTCCGCCGGAAGATTCTGAAATCCCACAGAGGTCACGACCCTCAGCATTGAGGATTAACGATGCAAGAAGGAGAAGGATAGAAAACTATAGTCGATCAGTAAATAATCAGCTGAGTA